CATTTGACAAAAAACTTTTAAAAACCATTTTTTATGTATAAAATATTATTTATTGATGCATACTAATTAAAATTTAAGATTACAAGTAAATTATGTATAAATACAACTTATTAAAGCTTCATATTTGAATTCGTGTAACTAACTGGAAATAAATATAATCAAATATTGGATAAATATCTCATTTTAAATATAAAAAATTTAAAATATAATTAGGATAATAATTGGTTCTAACAGAATACTTAGTTATTATCTTTATAAAAAAATATAATATTAAACTTAAATTAAATTTCTTTGTTACTAAACATAAATTAAATTATAATTAAAAAAATTGAATTAAGAAAATTACACCAAAACACAAAAACTTTTATAAAGATTAATTTAGTACTGATATCGATATATATATATATATATATATATATATATTTCAAATTTATATTTTATTCAAAACTAAAAACACTATCGTTTTCTTAAAACCACATAAAACTGTATTATATCAACATAAAAAAGGAATTAAACGAAACATTGAAATTGAGATGTATTTCGATGTATTGCACGAGTACCCTTCTAGTTCTAGTATTTGTAAAAGCATCTCCATCAACTATACTATTTAAAAATCTTAAGAAAAATTTACTTCAACAACTATGCTATAGAATACAGAAATATAGAATCCATGGATGTGGATTAGAGATCTACTTTACTTTAATTCGAATCACGTACATCATTTAGCTATTTTGTGTGTTCTTGATTTGAATCAAACAAGGAATACACGTTTTACAGTGATTTCTTATAATTCTTTACAAAAAATATATATCCGAGTCTTTATATCATATAGCTATTTTGGCACGAATAAACAAGATGAATTGTAAAAAAAGACTTGTGCCACTTTGACGTTATCAAGTGAAGAGGCAAATCCATAAAAAGTTCGAAACATGATACAAAAACAGTTTAACTAAAACTGATATTTAAATAGCTTTTGGAGGAAAATAAATGGTTTTTTTCTTTTTCAATTTTTATCTGCTACTCTAATCAAAAAAATAAAAACAAAAAAGTGATTCATAGCAACCTATGGATAAGTCATTTACCGTTAAAGTTCCTGAAAGAATTTTTGTACGGTTGCAATATATAATGTTGGTCAGTGTTATTTGCACCTCTTTTAATGTCATAATCAGATCAAGTCCTGCATTGAAAATGTAAATGCATGTTTTGATATTGATTTGTATGAGAAAAAATCATTTGATAGAGGTGTATTTAGTAAACTATAGGGCCAACAAAAATGCTTTGGATTTCAAAAAAAAAGCAACAAGTTTATTTATAAAAAAAAGCCTTTTTTTATTAACCTGGATATCCAACCCGTTATGCGAGCCAACTAATCTTAGGTCGACCACTTGCTTTGCAGATAGCTCGGAGTCACCGTATTTGAACCTCTGTGGCTACAAGAGAATTTTTATTCCTCCTTAGATTTAAACTTGAGACCTTCTAGTATTTTTAACCTTTGAAACCAAACTCAAACTAATCATACACCACCTTAAAGATGATTAAAATATGGTATCCTTGAGAAGCAAGAAAATGAATGATGCAAGGACCATGCAGTCATGGTTGATGATGACCCTATTCTTGGGAAGCTTCCTCTTGTCTTAACCTTTCACATGAATCGGTAGCCACGACGAAGGTCGCCCGCCCCTTCTGCACTTTTTCCCCAATTTTTTATATACCCCTTTCTATATAAAATAATAAAATACATAAAATTTAATTTAATTTATTTTTCAATTTTAACCCTTTAATATTTTCAGTTTTAATCCTTTAACTTTTGTAATATTTTCTTATTATATTTTTATGTTTTTAATTTTTAATATATATTATAATTATATAAATTAATTAACTTTATATTATTATTAATTAATAAAGTATTAATATTCTTTTAATAATTATATAAATTAATTAATTTTACATTATTATTAATTAATTAAATACTAAGAATACGTATTCTTCTAATAATTATATAAATTAATTAATTTTAGATTATTATTAATTAAGAAAGTATTAAAAATACGTGTTTTTAAATTTTATATTTGTATATCATTTTTTATACACTTTATACCTTTATAAATATCGTTAAATTTCTTTGTTTTTTTATTTATTTTATATATCCTTGTTATATTTATATTATTATGTTCATATAATTGATTTTTTTTTATTTTGAAGGTATTGACGAGACGATTATAATAATGTAACTTGTTTTTTTAATGTATTTTAGTTTAATATACGATTATTATGTTAATGTGATAAAAGTGTAAAACAAAAAATGAAAAAGTAAGGGATGTACTAAAAAATTAAATAAATATAATGATATAAAGTGTAAGTGATAAAAATATTCTTTTGTAATATATATCATATAATAATATAATTTAAATAAAAAAACTATTTAATATTAATAAATTTCGAAAGTATTGAGGAGACAATTTATAATGGTATAACTTGTTAAAATAAAAACATATTTTTAAATTAATATACAATTATGTATGTTAATGTGATAAGGGTGTAAAACGAAAAATAAAAAACAAAGGGACATACCATAAATTACATAATTAACTACAAGAGTATAAAGTATAAGTGTTAAAAATATTTTTTCGTAGTAATATATGATATAATAAGATAATTAAATAAAAAATATTCAATATTGTACTTATTTTGAAGGTATTAACAAGACGATTATAACGATGTAATTTGTTAAAGTTAGAACGTGTTTTTTAACATATTTTAGTTGATATATAATCATGTATGTTAATGTGATAAGGATATAAAACAAAAAATAAAAAAAAAAACTATAGAAATAAATTAATTAACTATAGAATATGAAGTATAATTTCAAAATTAAAAAGTATATTAAAAAATGAGTATGTAAGATGAACAAGATGAATAAAGGGTATGATAATGCTTTCTGAGAGGTTAATTTCGTTGTTAGATCTAATTTAGTTAATATAAAATTATGTATTTTAATATGATAATGATGTATAACGAAAATTGAAATATTAAATGATGTACCATAAATTAAATAAATAACTATAAAAATAAAAAGTGTAAATATTAAAAATATTTTTTCATAGTACATATAATATATAACAATATAAATAAGTCAAAAACTATTCAATATTGGGTTCATTTCGAAGGTATTAACGAGACGATTATAATACTGTAACTTGTTAAAATAAAAATGTATTTTTTAAACATGTTTTAGTTGATATATGATTATGTATGTTAATTTAATAAATATGTAAAATGAAAATTTTAAAAGGAATGGACGTAAATTAAATTAATTAACCAATTAAAGGGGTATCAAATGTAAATTTAAAATTAAAATTTTAAAAAATTGGGGTTCATGTGAAGGGGGGAGTAGGGGGAAAGATGTGAGAAGGAGGGGATGAAAAGTGAGGTGGGGTATCAATATCGACCACCTTCTATAAGCCACCATCACAAGATTACAAAAAACAAAGACTTGACTATTCATTGCTAATTAAATGCCACTACCCTAAATTACTATAAATTAAGATGTGATATATACATACATACACATACAACCACACTTTTCTCATCAACTTCTTAAGAAACCACTTTCCCAAAACCTTTCTGTGGCTTGTTAGCCGGAAGAAGATGATGGGAGATATGACTCAGTTAGGATCTGTAATGGCCGGAATTATGTTCGTTTGGGCAATATTCCGGCAACTGTTCCCTGAGGAGTTCCGAAGAGATTTCAGAAAATATACAAACAAGGTTATTAGTTATATCTATCCTTATGTTGAAATCACTTTTCATGAATACCAAGTAGATGGCTGGTTCGAACGAAGCAAAGCGTTTGTTTCCATTGAACGGTACCTTAGCACCAACTCCTCCACCACTGCTAAAAGGCTCAAAGCAAGCGTGGTCAAAGACACTGAATCCGTTGTTCTGAGCATGGATGACTACGAAGAGGTTACAGATGAGTTCCAAGGCATCAAGATTTGGTGGACTTCGAGCAAAAATTTCCCCAAACAACAGGCTCTCTTTTCGTATCGTGGTGAAGAGGAGAAGAGGTACTACAGGCTCACTTGTAAAAAAGAACACCGTGACATCATCACAAAAGTTTACTTGAAACATGTACTTGATGAAGGGAAGGCTATTGCAGTAAGAACAAGGCAACGAAAGCTTTATACCAACAACAAGAGTGAGAATTGGTATGGTTACAAGAGGACAACGTGGAGCCATATCGTATTTGAGCACCCGTCTACCTTTGATACTCTTGCCATGAACCCAAAAAAGAAGAAGGATATTTTAAATGATCTTATGACCTTTAGCAAGTCGAAAGATTATTATAAGAAGGTTGGTAAGTCATGGAAACGAGGGTATCTTCTTTATGGTCCACCAGGAACTGGGAAGTCTAGTATGATTGCTGCCATGTCTAACCTTCTCGAATATGATATCTATGATCTTGAATTAACCTCGGTTAAAGATAACACGGATTTGAGGAAGCTACTCATCGATACATCAAGTAAGTCCATAATTGTGATAGAGGATATCGATTGTTCACTTGATCTAACAGGTCAGAGAAAGGAGAAAAAAGAAGAGAGTGAAGAGGAGGACAAGGATCCGGTTGTGAAAAAGGCCAAAGGAGGAAAGGATAAGGATGATAAGGGAAGTAAAGTGACTTTATCTGGTCTCTTGAACTTCATTGATGGGTTATGGTCGGCTTGTGGTAGCGAGAGACTGATCGTGTTCACAACCAACTACGTCGAAAAGCTTGACCCTGCTCTCGTTAGGAGAGGAAGGATGGATAAGCATATCGAGCTGTCTTACTGTTGTTACGAAACATTCAAGGTTCTCGCAGGAAATTATTTGGATCTTGAATCACATGAACTCTTTGCAACCATTAGTCGACTCTTGGAGGAGACGAACATGACTCCGGCTGATGTTGCCGAGAATTTGATGCCAAAGTCAGATGAAGAGAATGCTGAGAGTTGCTTAAACAACCTGATCAAATCTCTAGAACTTGCAAAAGAAGAAGCAAGACTGAAAGCTGTGGAGGATGCCAAGATCAAAGCTGAGGAGGAAGCAGGCAAAAAGAATGACGAAAATGGTGAAAATGTACAAGACAGTGATGCCAAATTAGGTGATGGACAAGGAAAGTGTTAAAGTTAAGTTAGACATGATAGTTAAAGTTAGTTATTATCGTGACAGTTAAGTTGGTTACAAAAGAAACAGTTGGGACGTTTCATGAAGGGGTGTGTTGGTTAAGATAGATTGTGTCGTTTGGATCAAAGGTTGCAGTCCTTTGATCATCTATTTATTCTGTACATGTATTGTTTCATAATTGATGTTGTTCAATAAAAATAAATATTATGTTTTGTGTATCTATGGTTCCAACATTCTGGTATCAGAGCATAGAAAATGGCATCGACCTCAAACGAACTGTTACATCATCAACTTCCTAAATTAAATGGAAGAAATTACCACCAGTGGAGTATACAAATGAAGAGTCTTGTTCGAATCTCAAGAATTATGGGACATAGCCGAACAGGGATTTGAAGAAACAGAGGAAATAGATGATCTTACACCTGAACAGGAAGAAAAAATAAGGGAATTAAGAAAGAAAGATAAAAAGGCTCTCTACACCATCTATCAGGCTGTAGATGAGATTATATTTGAAAGAATATCCTACACCCTTTCATCTAAGGATGTGTGGGATACATTTCATAACACTTACCGTGGGGAAGACAAAGTCAGAATAGTAAGACTGCAGACCCTCAGATGTGAATTTGATGCCCTCAAAATGAAAGATGTCGAGACAATAGAAGAATTCTACAACAGGGTTGTGTTTCTGTTGAATCAACTCAGACTGAATGGTGAAAATATAGATGACACAAGCGTAATTGAGAAGATCCTAAGGAGCCTAACTAGGAAGTTTGAGTATGTTGTTGTGGCTATTGAACAATCCAAGGACCTCTTGACACTCTCACTGGAAAGTTTGATTGGAACACTTCAGTTTCATGAATTGAGAATGAAGCAGTTTGATACCACTCCATATGAATAAGCATTTCAACTTCAATCCTCAGGAAACCAAGACAAAAATAGGACCTATGGGAGAAATCAACAAAGGGATTTCAAAGGTAAATACATGAACAGACCAGAGAACCCTGTGCAGTGTATCACTGCCAAAAATTTGGCCATATAGCCAAATTTTGTAGAAAAAGGCTGGCAGAAGAAGCAGACAACAACTTTCATGATGTTTAATACTCAAGAGACAATTGTTAGAAACTGGTATATCGACAGTGGTTGCAGTAACCACATGTCTGGAAACAAATACATCTTCTCTCATATAAATGAAACATAGAAAAGAAAGGTGAGGACTGGTGATGACAGGAAATTGGCAGTAAATGGAATAGGGGATATACTGGTTGAAACAAATAATGGACAAATGAAGATTACAAGTGTGTATTATGTACCAGGCTTGCAACACAATTTACTTAGTGTGGGACAGCTTATACACAAAGGATTTGACTTACACTTCAAAAATAGACTATGTGAGTGGAAGGATCAAGAGGGAAAACTCATGGGAAGGATCAAGATGACAGAAATTAGAATGTTCCTTTTGAATCTCATAGAAGAGGGATTGTTTTCTCTCAATATATCTACCAAGGATCATTCCATGTTATGGCACCACAGGTTCGGCCACACAAACCTTGGTTACTTAAGTTACATGCAAAGACATAATTTAGTTAAAGGGATGCCAAGCCTAAATAAAGTGAAAGACATTTGTGAGGGATGCATGATTGGAAAACAAAGAAGAGAGCCATTTCCACAACAAGGAGTATGGAGAGCATCTAAACCTTTAGAGCTAATCCACACAGATGTGTGTGGACCAATGAAGACACTTTCAATTGGTGGAAACAGGTATTTACTAACTTTCATAGATGATTTTAGTATAAAGTTATGGGTCTATTTTTTGAAAGAAAAATCAAAAGTCTTTGAAATCTTCAAAAACTCCAAGACTTACATTGAAAACAAAGTGGATATGTGATCAAAGCTCTTAGATCAGATGGTGGAGGAGAGTATAACTCCACTTACTTTCTTGATTTTTTAAAACAAAATGGGATACATCACCAAATGACTACTAGGTACACACCACAACACAATGGTGTGGTTGAAATACTGAATAGAACCATTATAGAGAAGGCAAGAAGTATGCTTAAAAGCAAGCACTTAGATAACTCTTTTTGGGCAGAAGCAGTAGCCTGTGCATGTTATCTTATGAATAGGACTACTATAAAAGGACTCACTGATATGACACCACAAGAGGCTTGGACCAGCAATAAACCCACAGTTGGTCATTTTTGAACTTTTGGATGTCTAGCATACTTCTTTATCCATGAACAAATGAGAAGCAATCTAGATGAAAAATCTGAGAAAACCATCTTTATTGGTTATAATAACAAGTCTAAGGCCTATAAGTTGTATAATCCCATCACAAAAAGAACTATAGTCAGTAGGGATGTTGTCTTTGAGGAGGATAAGGAATGGAACAACTCATCTGATAGTGGAAATATAGAGACACACAGCCCACATTTCACAGCTGTTGATGAAGAAGAAAAGGACAGTTAACAGAACCTAAGTAACCATGATCCTAATCCTAATTTAGAACCTCCTATAATTCTTCCAACTCCTCAAACTCACAAGAAACCTCTATTGAAAGTCCACCTAGAAAAGGATATAGAAGCTATGGGTCCCGTAAGGGTCTACAAGAAGAGAAACAGTTTGTAGAAAGGGGGGGGGATGAATACAAACACAATATTTTCAAATTTAAAATATATATTGATAGAGAAGATCAATACAGATTTTACAAGACTGTTTGCGAAAAGATAAGGTAATGAAAACCTATCTAAACAATCTTTGGTTACACACAGAGCTTTAGCAAATACAAGAAAAGAKAWTGCTAAAAGAAAGATCCTTTACTTAAGCTAGAAGATGCTTGAAGTAAGAATAAGTTTAGAGAGAGATGTGCGCTCTTTGCATGGAGAAGAAACACTTCTATTTATACCCAGTGCATTAAATGATCATTTAATGCAATATGGTAGGTTTAGAGTGCGTATCAAACCTTAAGAGGAAGACTTGTCCTTTGCTACAGTGAATAGTACAAAAGCACTATTTTTGAGCAGACATCTTTGCCTAAAGTTGGTGGACAACGAGTCGACTAATCGGCTCCGTACCGTACTAACTTTTGTAAGGGTACGGGTTTGTCCTTTGTGTACATAAGGACAAGACAACAACAATCGTGCTAAGCAAGCTTCATTTGATCGCTGCATGCTAGAATGACCTGGAGGTCTCATCATCATTCACTGAAGCTAGAGCAGTCTTCACACATGTATAGACAGGCTTGTAATCACTGAATACCGCTTCAGATCACGTACTCG